GGGGATTTTTTGCAAAACTTTCAACCACTTTATCATTAAAATTATTTAGGTTTTTATTTATTATAGCTCTGTGTACACTCATCATGGCTAGACCATTAAGGCGATCTTCTGCCATGGTGCTTCTTAGCCATATTTTCAGTCTACTGAGGCTGCTAAAGGATCGCTCTACTGTACAGGTCGTGCATGGTAAAGCGATCAAAATTTTAAATGCTTTTTCCGTTTCGGGAAAGAAGAAATTTGTTTCTTTTACAACTGTAAGATTTGTTAGATTAAGCCTATCGCGCCACAATTGCTGCCAAAGTTCGATTTCATTCTTTATGTTCGGTAAATCATAAAACTGGGCAATAGACTCACAAGTTTGTTTCAGATGTCATCTTTTGCATCTGCGCCGGGTGTAACTTAGATAATGCGAATTTTGAATAAAGTTGGACTGCATGCTCCCCAAAACGGTATTCCGTAGAGTAAGTGAGAATCTATGAGTGCAAAGTAGCCATCTTTGCAGTGCTGAAACCCAATTCTTTATAAATCACTCTAACCGCATAACAGCCAGAGACTTTTCTAGTGAGTTGTATAACATGATCCACAAATTTTAAGTTCTGGTCAATGAAGACTCCTAGAATTTAGTGTTATTCTTAGATTCCAGTGATCTGTAAAAGAATGGGACCTAACACAGAACCTTGTGGAACTCCAGAATTTATTTCCCTTTTTTTTTTGAAAGTTGAGTTGTTTTGACCACTTGCGTCCGTCCCATTAAGTAGGAATCGAACCATTTGTGAGGTACTCCTCTGCATCCATAACGTTGGAGCTTTCTCAGCAGTATTTTGTGATCAACGCAGTCGAATGCCTTTGACAGGTCACAAAATACTGCGGCAGTCTTTTCACCGACATTTATCTCAGAATAAACTCTATTCGGAAATGAAAAAATAGCATCGTGCGTGTTTTTATTATTCTGGAAGCCGAATTGATTTTCACTGATGATGTTATGCTTATTTATGAATCCAAGTGGTCGTTTTTCAACTAGTTTTTCAATTATATTTGCGATGGTTGGTATGAGAAATATAGGACGGAGATTAGAGGGATCATCAGAATCTCCGCCCTTATGCAGAGGAATGACCACAGAGGTTTTTAGAAAAAAGGGAAATATGCCTGTTTGAAAGGATAAATTTATCAGTGAAACCAGTACATTTAGACGGGTATTGGATTTAACATGCATAGTTAAGTTAAATGACAAAAGTAGGTTTTTCAGAGAATCGGTGGCTGGCGATTTAAGATCATTATAGTTAATATTGAAATCGCGGTGAGGAAATCAATTGCTCGCACTTTGGTGGCTTTGCGGCTAGCTATATTTGATCTCTAGGGGGGGGGGGCAACTGCCTCCCGTTGGCGACGCCCTTGGTACACGAGAAGATGTGAATGACGACGCTCGCCCTGGAAGCCCCAGCACATCAATAACCGATGAAAATGTTGGAAAAGTGAAGAAAATTGTTACGGAAAATCGTCGAATCACTATTAGAAAAATTGCTGATGATGTCAGCATATCGGGTTAGCTGATAACATGTAATATTTTCGGAAATGTTGTGCATTGTCCCAATGAAAGAGTCTTGGAGAACCAAGACTAAAAAAGCACGCCAAGTTCGACCAAATGTCGAGGTTTTGTTCACTGTTTTCATCGATTACCGTGGCGTAGTGCATCAGAAGTTTTTGCCACATGGTCGTACGAGAAGCAATATGAAGAAAACGGCCGTTATTGTGGAAAAACAATTCATGGTTTTTGCATCACGATAATACACCTGCTCAACAGTTTCGGATGTTAGAACCAGAACAAACCTTATGTATTCATGATTCAACTCATGTCCTTATGTTTAAAGGTGGTTTGCAAATGTGGAATTAGTCTTTCTATTCACAAAACTACGTCTATGCTCTTTGATTTTTTCGGAAAATGTTCTCATTGTTTGGTCCATATACAGTTTTGGGCAAGAGCCACAAGTCAGCTTAGATACTCCTGATCTATCCGACACCGAAGTTTTGTCTTTATTGTTTTTAATAAATTTACTTAGACTATTATTCGTTTTGTAAGCTACGTTTACCCATTCTTTCTTCAAAAACAGGAAATATTATTGGTTGGTTCACCCAAATATGACAATATCCTATAACTAACGTTATCACATCTTGAATTTGATTAGATCTGGTCCATGGCTTGCTTTTGTAGTATTTTAGAAAGAATGGAGTCTATAATATCTACCTTATGACCGTTGTTGACCGCGATTTGTTTAATCAGACTAAGCTCTCTCTGGAAATTACTCTCAGACAGCGGAATATTTAATAATCTGTGAAGGATACTATTGAATGCAGCAACTTTATGCTGGTAAGGGTGTATGGAGCAATTATGTATAATAATGTCCGTGGTTTTCAGACCTTGGGATCAAAAGCAGAACACAGTACTCATTTAGTTAGACAAGAGCAAAACGTTTTTATATCCTCAGTGATTATTTATTGTGTACTCAGCTTCGATTTTTTGGACTGGACGAATCGGTAGTTAAATTGATAATAACTAATAAGTTATCTAAAAAATCGTTAGAAGCAAACTCTCATTAATGGAATTGACTTTCAAAGTCGAGACATAGAATGGAATATAGCATTATTTTGGGGAAGCACAATCACAGTGAACTTATATCTAAGAGAATCTCATAGTGATCAAAAGAGTGTCAAGTACAATTGATTGAATCAATATATTTTTAAATAGAAACATTAAGGACGCATATATCCTGACATGGTCATTATATTCAATTTTTTGAATGTATCTCTACAAGATTCTTTGTGGTTCAGACATAGCCAAATCTTGATGGCTTTTTTTAAGTTAAAAAACTTTCTGCCAGGCTACTTCCTTCCCAGAAAATTATCCCAAAACACATTACTGAGTGGAAGTTGGCAAAATAAATGGTTCGCTTTGCTTCCTCATCCAAATATGTCCTTTTGGAAGTCTTTCCCTCGATGACGATTGTAATAAGAACGCTTCTGATATCAATGTATAAAACTTCAAAAGCCCTCGACAGCACAATAACTAAATCAAACTTTTAAACACAGTAATAATTATTTATTTTGACAAAAATAATATTTGATTAAAACATAACCTGCGGGGATTTTTTCAAAACTTTCAACCACTTTATCAATAAAATTATTAAGTTTTTATTTATTATAGCTCTGTGTACACTCATCATGGCTAGATCATTAAGGCGATCTTCTGCCATGGTGCTTCTTAGCCACATTTTCAGGCTTCTAAATCTGCTAAAGGATCGCTCTACTGTACAGGTCGTGCACGGTAAAGCGATCAAAATTTTAAATGCTTTTTCCGTTTCGGGAAAGAAGGAATTTGTTTCTTATACAACTGTAAGATTTGTTAGATTAAGCCTATCATTCTTTGTGGTTCAGACATAGCCAAATCTTGATGGCTTTTTTTAAGTTAAAAAACTTTCTGCCAGGCTACTTCCTTCCCAGAAAATTATCCCAAAACACATTACTGAGTGGAAGTTGGCAAAATAAATGGTTCGCTTTGCTTCCTCATCCAAATATGTCCGAAAGGTGTTCCACAAAGTAGCATTCTCGGGCCATTGTTATTTTCTATTTATACTCCAGTTTTTTCAAAAATCTAGAATTCTGTAACATTCGTAAATAAGCTGATGACATCCAACTTTATATTATTTGTACCCATATGAGTTGAAAACTATTTGTGAAGTTATACATTTTGATTATTATATCTCCTTCTGAATTAGTCTAAAACTGAAATGATGATATTTGGTGATATGAATGTTTTAACACTCTGCCAGAAAAAAATGAATGTGTCCCTCCTATCTTCACCTTCAATAGATATATTAGATTATAACGGGTGTTTTTTTTAAGAGGTATAGGATTTGAATTTCAAAACAACACAAAAAATTGAAAAAATTGATGAAATCTTTATTGGAATCTTTTTTTAAAGATGATTTCATGCAAATGTTGTCCGCACACTCTCTCTAACATATCGACCGGTATTTCACGTATAAATGCTTCAATATTGGCTTCCAGAGCCTCAGTCGTTGCTGATTTATCCCTGTAGGCCTAAGCCTTAACATGACCCCACAAGAAATAATCCAAAGGCGTGGCACCGTCTTGTTGAAACCACATGTGAGGCATGTCCAATTCTTCCATTTTGGGCAACAAAAAGTCGTTAATCATCACACGGTAGCGCTTGCCATTCACAGTAATGTTCCGACCATTGTCGTCTTTGAAGAAGTACAGCCCGATGATGCCACCAACCCATAATCCACACTTAACAGTGACTTTTTCGGGATGCATCGGTAGCTCTTGCAATGCTTGTGGCTGGTCTTCACTCCAGACATAGTGGGAGGTCGTGTGGCTTCAATTATTGCACCAGCTGTATCTTATAAGGTTTTACACCCAAATCCTTTCGCAAAATTTTCCACGTAGTGGATTAACAGAGGCCCAATTGCTGCGAACGGCGGCGAATCGACATACATGCGGATACAGCCGCAATATTTTCTTCGGTCCTTACTCTACTTATGCGTGTTGGTGGTTTTATGTCCAATTATGTAAACTGGGTTCGAAATTCAGTCACAACCTTTCGACTACCTCCCTCAGTAGGCCGACGAAACTGCCCATAAATTGGAAGAAGTGCACGATGCACTTTCCTCCCCGAGCATGAATTTTGATAATAAAATTCAATAATTTGCAAGCGTTGTTCATTCGTAAGTCGATTCATGATTAAATTGTAGACCAAACTGAACAAGTTTGACAGTGACACGATTCACGAGTGAATCGCGTCAAAAACAGTTTTGCCAAAATGATACCAGAAAAAAAATCACTCATCATTAGTTTGATGCAACCGCATTGGGATTTAATTTTGCAATCATTTTTATTATGTTTCATGACAGGCTAACTTGCCTTTTCTTACTATACAGGTAATTATGTTGGTATATTGTTATATAACTTGTATAAACAGCGTATTAGTGTATTAATTTTTGGGTTTATAGCTAATAAAAAGGTATTTAAAAACCAGTAATAAACAAAACTTTATTCAAAATTATTGACGCGAAAATTTCATTTCTGCAATTTTTGTTCTTGGTGTGTACATGAAATGGCGCGGTTTTGTCGAAGGAGTTGAATTTTATACGACAGATTTGTAATTCGCTATTGACATATATCACATCATGAAGAGTTTAATGATGTTGACGAAGCAGGGAAGATTAAACGACATTAGATGCAAAGTACCATGCTACGAGTACTTTCTATACACATGCAAATCAATCAGAAATGTATTAATAGTTACCCTGTCAAGCAAAAAATCCAAGTTTTAGTCCTTTAGATACATTAAGCTACTAGAAAGTTATACTAAAATTAGAAGCAGGAGTGGAATTTTTTATTTAGGAAAACATATTTCTGCTAATAGTGGAAGACTGACCCCTTCTGAAAACCAAAAGAATATTTATTCACTTTATTAGATAAGCACTCAATTAAAGAGTGACTAAAGAAGCGGGTTACTAAAAAACAAAGCCAAAAGTAATTCCATTAGTGTCTACTCTAGTTTGACCAAATTGAGAAAATAAATGCATTTTATGAAACTTGTGAATCAAATGGACGATTTTATCTTGATGATAATAACAAAACTAATGTAAAAAAATAATTTACTGAATTAGTGTGAAAATCATTAAATTCAATCCTACACTGAAATCACTGAAATTATACTGGACTTAATTCCTTTATTGGTTTACTATACCATTTTTTTCTGTCTAGACTGCACAAAAAATAAAAACTAACCTACTCGCACTACAATCCAGCTTTCATAAATAATTCGTACTTTCTCAAAGAAGTCAAACCATTTCTCCTTTCACACTACAACTACTGCTGCAAAGCGTGCTCTTCAAATACGAACCTGCTGGCCACAGGTGAGGTGGCAAAATTAAAACTTGCCGTAAAGTTTCTCAAAGATGCTACCTGGGCCCTCGTTAAACTGGACACTCCTCCACGACCACCAACGTTACTACGTACAAATTACAAAATATAATTGCGGTTAGCACATAAACTAAGTGAGCAAAACAAAACAAAATAGCTAGTGTAAACAAAAAAAAACATGCAAAGAAGTTCTCTTACTGTTCAGTTCAATTACAGTTTCAAAATCTAAATGTGAAACATTTTGTAAGTTACTGCAAGGTTGTGACGTCAATTTTTTTTTAAATAGAAGAACGATTTTTAGAGTTGAAAAACAAATGTGCAATGCTATCAGTACTTTTATTTAATTGTTTAACCTCAGTCATCTTCAGTTAATTGGTGTACCATTTAAATTTTGTTCCTCTTCCTCTTCAAAAGTCTCCACACAGTAGAAGGAGACACCTCACAAACATTCGCGATGAAATAAGTAGACTGTTCAGGATTTACTATCATCTCACCAATTATTTGCACTTGCTGTTCTTCCGATAGTTGTGAATTTGGATACAAGTTGCCCTCAAATATTTTCTACAGATAGGAAGATTCAGAAAACGTTCATTAAAAATCCTATTTTTGTGACTAACTGATATCACCCCACTTCAAATATTTTCTAACAGTCCATTTTTCAAAATCAGTTTCTGAGTTAATATTTACACGAACACACTCTAAAAACCTTCTGTTCTTGTTGAAAAAAATAAAGAATGCAATGTTTCCCAGAAGAGTTATCCCAAATCTTGACAATAAGTAAACAATATGTATTATATATAAAGTATGTATACATAAATAAATTTCATGAATTTAAGAGCATATTTAAAGATTTATTCACCTAGAAGCAATATCAATTTGTGCCTCACCGCATCATTGGAATAAACAACAACCATCCTTTCTCGATGGTGATAAATCGAAATCAATAATATCCCGCTCATAACCATGCAACATATTTTTTAAAACCGAAAAAAGAAAACTTACTCAGCAGTTATTGTGATGTCAGATAGCCTGCTATCGCTCGTTATACTGTAGTGTCGCCTCATTTGTACATCATTTTCTAATTTAATATCACAGTTCTGCAACAAAAACATTCAAAATAAAGGCTATCATATCTTACCAATAAACATTCAAGGCATACTCCTTGAGAGGTTATTTTTCACATGGAAAGTGACTCTGGGTATCGCACCCAATTATGAATTAATTCTCTTCTTTGATAACCTCAGAGTTCGAATATTTTCAATAAAAAAGGAGGTTCTGTTACATTACTTCAAATAATGATTCGAATGAATAAATTTCGTTTCAAAGTTATTTACCGTAAAACCAATAATAATAATAGAATTACATGGACAAACCTAACCTCACAAAAAATGCGAACAGACTAGTTTTTAATGTCTATTATTTATTCTCTTGGTACTACCAAGATATTAGACCGAGAGACTGGTCTGAATTCCGTATTCCACAAGAAAACATCTCCCTCTGAATAAATATCAAGTTCACACTCACGCTTACCTTTTTCCCATATTTTTCCTCGACCTTTGCCTTCATATCAGCAAAACATTCCTCCAAGCGTTTCTGGAGTGGTTGCAAATTATCAGGTGCTTTTATCTTGTGGATTTGAACGCAAAGCTCCAGAAGGGGTATTTGATCAGCAATCAAGTCTTTCAGTTTCTCTATTAGTATACTATCTTCGGCGTGATAGGTTTCGTAGGCGGACGTGAAGAATACATCCTCATAATTTTGTATACCGCCCATCACGGCAGGGTCCAAAATTCCTGAAATGTGAATTATAGCATCACGTTGAAATATTCCNTTTTGTATACCGCCCATCACGGCAGGGTCCAAAATTCCTGAAATGTGAATTATAGCATCACGTTGAAATATTCCTTGTACATTAAATGCAAACGATCCATAAAAAGTTCCACATTTCTTCAAGGATTAGTTTGCCATTGAGTTTTTGTGTAAAGACTATCCAGTATATTATTTATTTATTTAGTTAGTAGGCAAGCCTAATATACAAACATAATTCTAAATTTATAAATATCTTACAACGCTTCGTGATTTTGTATTCTGGTTTATTCGTTTTATTTGATGATTTTCATATTTGTATCGGATATCTGAATAAACTTATATAATATACTTCTTCAATGGTGACTTCAATTGGTTTATTGAATCAGATTCTTTTATAAATTGTGGTAGTTTATTGAATTCGTTAAAGCCTTTATGAAACATACTATTCATTCCAAATTAAGTGTTAGTTTCATTAATGTAAAAATTGTTATATATTCTCGTATTGTAATGCTTTATGCAACTTAAATATAAAGGATTCTATGTTCTCGAAAAAGGGTGTTTACATGAATCCCGCCATTTCGATTTTCATAAGTACCTGATTGCCCTTTTCTGCAAGACAAAAATCGACTGCATAAGTTTTTTACTGGAAACACCCCAAAAGTGTATACACTTTTGGGGTGTACCATACCTCATACTCTCATCTAAGGTATACCATACCTTAGATGAGAGTCTATTAAGGCATAGTACACTACTTTCGCTGCAGCAAACCCCAGTTCCTTTGAGATGTTTCTCAGTGCGAAATGATGTCAAAATCATACTATTTATTTTACTGACATTTAGTTCAAGTTTATTATTAAATAAATATGTTTCAATGCTTGAAGACCTATTCATTTCAACAATAGCCTGATCCAAATTTTAATGTTTACAATAAACCAATGTATCATCTGCAAAAAGAAGTATACGGTGTGATCCAGAAATGTGGTTAGTATATTTTAGATTTGGAAACAGAATGCCTTATCTGAAAGGGTTTATATTTCTTTGGCGAAACAAACTAGGTGAAAGGATATGAAAGGAATCAGCACTCTCTTCAACTCATTTGTTAGATCCAGTCTAGAACATGGCTGTCTTAATTGATTGAAGCTGTCTGTCCAACGACAGTTTATGAAATATGTTATCTAGAAAATGTCTACCCCAGACATAAAAATGAGCATTCGAAATATCATTTAGATAGGTTGAAAATGAAATGAAGAACGGGAGTAATTTGTGTCAGCAAAAGCGGTCTAGAAGATGGTTGTCCTTAGACCGAGGGGAGGTCAGCCCCCCACTCGGTCGAAGGACAGCCATGTCTACAAAAACAAACAACTCGATTTTCTTTGTCAAATTTCTTCGTGATACACATCGAAGATGTTCAAGAGTTAAAGAACAAATAATCGCTGGATCATTAACATTTTATCAACACAAAATAACACCACTTATGAGGTCTGTTCTAAAACTGCCATACCCTTCTTCAATAAGTTATTGTCGTTGCATACTCTTAAACGCTCACTTGAGAAGCCGAAATAAAAATAAGAAACAAAATTTGTGAAATTTTCTTGCGTCTGTCCTCTTTATACTCAATAGTCACAAACTTACCATTCAATGTCAAACTAAGCGGGTTGATTTGCATATTTTTGTCTTTGTTGAAAACAGATATATAATTCAACAGAGTTTTGTTCGTCTTTTCCATAGTTTCGATGGCGTTCCAGAGAGGAGAAATTTCGTGAACATTCGTATGTTCTACGGGAAACCACCTTAAGATTCCTGGTAGCGGATACGTCGTAATCAACTCCGTTCTTTCCAACCACAAATGAGCGAAATCATTATTGGACTCTATGAAAGGATCTTTCCTTATGAACGGTCTCGAAAAAGTGAACTTCTGTATATTGTTTACCCTGTAGAAGTTGACTATTTGATCTGATATCGGTTTTCCGGAGAATCTCTGCTTCTTTTCGTCCATCACCGGATTAACCATATTTATTTGTATATCTACATAGTATTAAGGATGTTAATGAAATGTACCGAACTGAATGTATTTAAATATTCAATATTAAACTATCAATCGGAATATATGCTATGTATAAGGAAGCCAGTTAACATATCTTTAAGTAAAAATGAATAACAACTTTTTGATAATACAAAAATGCTGTTTTTTTTGGTCCTTTGGGAGCTGTCTGACTTGTCTATTTAATCCAAATCTCCAGAAAACACTACAGCCTCTTGGGCTTATTGCGTTTATTCTCCCATTTTCTCATGACATCCAATCCATCAGTCTCGTTCCCTGTATAGTTCAAGTAAAAGATATAGTGCCCCCTACCTTCCAGCAGTTCCCCTTTGTATGATTTTTTTTGCCTTTGACTTGGCCGACACCTTTAAGATTACTATATCGGTTACTTTGACTATACTAGTTAGTACAGGTTCCGTGTTGGATGTTCGTCATATTCTTCTGGACGTAATGTTGTACGTCCGTATATTGCCTGCCTCCTGTGATTCAGTGCCTCACATTCGCATAAGATGTGTAGAGCTGTTTCTATCCCTTCGTTGCATAATCTGCACCTGAGGTCTCCGTTGTACAGCCCCATTTCATTCAGGTGTCCTCTAAGCGGACAATAACCGGTTAGTAACCCTGTAATTATTCTGAGCCGATCCCTACTATATTGAAGTAGTTCTTAGGTTCTTTTTTCGGACGGCCCCCTAATGAAGGTTCTACTGTGTTGGTTGCCAGGTACTTTTGTCCAGTACTCTGTGTGCTTCTTATTGGTAAATGTCCTAATCTGGTTTCGTACTAACGGATTGGATGATATTTTCAAAAAGTTGAACATAAAAGTAGCCTTTAAAACTTCATGCTCACTTTTACCAATGTTATGTGATCCCAAAGATAAGATGTTGGAAACTTAAGTCCGGAATATATGAAATGAGCTGTGAAGACTGTGACAAAACATATATTGGTCAAACTGAGCGAATCATTAAAACTCGTTTTAAAGAACACGCATCATATATCCGATTTCGAAGACCTGAAAAATCCAGTGTCACTCAACACACCTGGAAAACGGCCGTAGAATAAATGAAAACTGTCTGAAATTGTTGAGATCCTTACTTGACACTAAAGTTTCGGAAAGTTTGAAATAAGCAAAGTGTTTCATGAGAATTTTAAAGAGTGACAATGGTCCCATTCCAAACAGCCCATTGTTTACTTTTTTATGGATCACTGTTATTAATTAGCAGGAACTTTCACGGGAAAATTTCCCGCCAATTTCTACCCTAAAATATTGATGTGTATTGGAAAGCTATGAGTGGAAAACATTATCATAGCACAAAAAAAAGCAAACCCCCCCCCAAGGCCAACAAAAAAGGAAGGCCTTTGGTCCCTGGTAATAAGTCTGAATAACGAAAAAAACCCCAAAATCCCAAAAGAAAAGTAATGGCAACCCAACGCCGGTTCCCCTTAACAAGGGGAAGAAAAAACCCGAAGGAACCTGGGGTTCCTCAAAAAAAAACAAAAAAAAAAACCCGCCCAAAAAATTGGGAAAAGGAAAAACACACAATATTGTGTTGAAAATTTGAAATTACGTTTGTGAATCTAATATAAACGAGACCTTCCGACCTTCAGGCACAATAGTGGAAGGAGAACGTTCCCGCTATGTTTGTTGTTGGGTAGGTTTGTCAGGAGTAGGGGAAGCACGTGGGATCGCTTCCTTGACCCTCTCAGTCTCCACCGTGACGATGTCGGAGCAAGAGATACATCCGTCAATTGCGCAACATGTTGTAATCAAGTTTCTCGCCGCAGAAGGCGTAAAACCGGCCGAAATCTTGAAGAGATTGACTGCCCAGTTCGGGTAAGAGACACTGTCGCGAGACAGAGTGTTTTCATGGCATAAACAGTTCGTGGAGAGTCGTGATCGTGTTGAAAATGAGAGCCATGACCGCAGACCTCGCACCAGCATTACAGAGAACAACATCAGCAGTGAAGATGACAGACGTCGTACCACTTCTGAAATCGCAAGTGAGGTCGGGCGCACTTACTCCATACTCACAGAGGAGCTAGGGTACCGTAACGTGCGCTCCAGGTGGGTTCCTCGCCTTCTCACAGCTGACTAGAAATTGCATCATCTTCAGGTGTGTGGGCGTCTTCTTGCACGATTTCAGGAACAAGGAGACCTATTTCTCACTCACATTATCACCTGTGATGAAACATGGGGGCACCACTACACCCCAGAGTCTAAACAAGCGAGTATGAAGCGGAGAAAACAAGAAGAACTTGGACCAGTGAAAGCCAAGTCACATTTGTCGACGGGCAAAGTTTTGGCTACCGTTTTTTTTGACCAGCGTGGATTGCTGTATCTCGATTTTTTGCACGAGCGCAGGACAATTAATGCGGCCTACTACTGCGACGTTTTGAGTGAGGTCCGACTTGCATAACGCCGCAAAAGACGAGACCTATCGATCAGGAAATGGTTCTCCTCCATGACAATGCTCAACCCCATTCAGCAGCCTTGACTAGGGAAAAATTGGAGCAACTGGGTTGGGAAACATTGGAACACCCTCCTTACAGTCCAGACCTGTCACCCTGTGACTTTCATGTGTTTGGCTCTCTCAAGGAAGCTTTGGGAGGCCAAAGATTCGATAGTGATGCTGAGGTTGAAGCCTACGTATGCAATTGGCTGCAGACACGACCTGCATCTTTCTACGTGAAAGGAATTGGAAAGCTGCCTATCCGCTGGGAAAAGAGTGTTTCCAAACCAGGAGATTATGTAGAAAAATAAACCATATTCTTTTTTTGCGGTTGAAATGAAAATGAATTACCAAAAAAAAAAAGTATCGTTTATATTTGATTCAAGTAGTATAATGTTGTAAATCATCACCTAAAAAAAATAACAACGGCAGCCGCTGGTCGTCATAAATCAATTGTGACGTGACCAAGACCGTGCCCAACTCAATGAGCCCTCGCGACTGGTCTACTGGCTTCGATGGACCTCTGTGAGGAATTTTCTACCGGTTTTGGGATAGTTCATTTGCTGTATATAAGTGCGACCCAAACCGAGATCGCGCAAGTTAAGTTCAGTGGACAGTACGGTACAGAACGATCTAATTAGGCGATAGACATTGAATAATAGTTGAAATTTTAGTTAAAGTGTTTGGTTGTAAACAGTGAAATGAAATTGAGTTTGATTATTGATCAGTGTGGTCAATTATTGGTAAACTCACGGATAAAAACGCAACAATAAATTAAAATACAGTCCACTACCTTAACTAGTTCCTTTTGATTCAGTTTAATATTGTCCCTACAATTATGGAAATAAATTTCAAATGATTTGTAAAAATAACCTCTTCCTCCTAAGTATACTGTTATTACTTATATTAAATTGTTCATTCTGTAACTTAAACACAAAATACAGTATGAGACATATATAAAAGGATACATTGTTCATCAGATTCCATAATATCTTCACCAGGAGGCGTGAGTTTGTTCAATAGCTCAGCTTTCGGAAATTCGTTGAGAATTCTGGCATTGAAATCTGCCAACCGTTCGTATTCTTTTCCGCGATATACGAAAACTTTATTGCTCAGAAATTTCGGAAAACCTTTACCGAAGTAGCCCACTCGAAAATATTCCGGTTTGGCCCGTGCTTTTTTCATTATATCATCGTAGAAAATAGCCATCCGATTGTGCAGATCGCTCAAACGCTCGTAGTCGAATGTTTCTTGTTCGTACTGCTCGGCCAACTCCTGGCATTTCTTTATTGCACACTCCCACATCTGTAAGTTGCATAGAATAAATTTGTCATAACTTTCCACTTCTTTACCCAATCAAATTGTGAAAGTACAAGTCAATTGCTTGAAGAAAATTAACATGTAAAAATACAGAAAATACAATGAAACATAAATGGCGGCACAACAAATATATAAAAAAGCAATCAAAAACCTATTTTGAATAACCACTCTTCAAGAATCTTTTCAAAAATAGTCAAATTCTTTATACTGACTGGTTGAACTCTGAATTGATTGATATTGCATAATATTTGTGCACAACCTCTGGTTCAACTGTCAAATGATAATAGTCATTTTCAAGCATTATTCACACTGGAACAAAATAAATATAACGTTAAATTTTAATATAGATTACAAGGAAGATACACAAATCCTGAATAATTATACATCTTGTAAAAGAAATCGAGATACTGAATTTATCATTACATTAAACTATCTTGTGTGGTTATCAGTAAAAACTTACCTTTCCTTTACTATAATTTTCAATAATCGTGTAGTATAAAGCTTCCTTCAGCTGTCTATGTGTCCTAGCCGTATCATATTTATCCCCTTTCAGCAAGGAATTCAATATCTCGTCCGACCAATTCAGTAGTTTGGTATGCAGTTCCAAGGTGTAAGCGGCTTCGGTAAAATTATCACATTCCAAATGCAGATCACATAACTTATTGAGATATCTTATGTACATTTCTTTTTTATTAATCTCCGAGTAAAAGTCCTAAAAACAAATACTGTGAAATAAGTACCGAGGCTAAGGGTTGTAAATATTAAAAGTTACTATGGAAAATTGAATTCAATCATTGTACAACAAGCAATATAGTGTTTTTTGGAAGCTGTGGCAATGTTTACTTCTTGTGATCAATATTAAAATTAGCACTAGCCGAACAGTCCTCATCATGTGACCAAAATTCCTATCACTTGAAATCCTTCAATATGCAACAAAAGGACATCCTTATCATCTTCGACGAAGTATCCTTTTCACGAATATCCCACTATCCAAAATCTTATCCGTCCTAAAAATTCCAAAAAT